TTAGTCAGACGGAAACAACTCATATGGCTCCTACATACCGGCCCCTAATTATTTTAGAGCAATAATTACATCATACTTACCATGTAGGAGACATACTGATAAAGATGATCAATCTTTTATCAAACATTCAAAGATACAATTTCAATTCCAAATAAATAAATATACATTAATGCAAATAGATATTTGAAAAAAGTCAATTTTCATGACTCTTCTATTTCCTGTAGAAGACACACTTTAGTGATCGACCTGTCCAAACAACCAGTCTTTGTCTTAACACGAACCCGACGTACAAGTCCTTTACTGTCAGAAATTGCTTCCACAATCCTTCCAGTCACCCAAGAGTTACGAGGCACAGAATCATCGACAACGATAACCACGTCCCCAGGAATGAAGTTCCGTCCGATTCTCTGCCACTTCTGACGCTCTTGAAGCTGGGGCAGGTACTCCTTGACCCAGCGCTTCCAGAACAGGTCAGACATGTATTGTACTTGCCTCCATCGATGTCGTCCATACACGTCCCCCTTCTGAAACACTCCTGGTGGTATCAATGGCTTGGTCTTAAGCAACAACAGATGGTTAGGAGTCAAGGCCTCCAAATCATTAGGATCAGTAGAGGCTTTAGTTATTGGTCTACTGTTCATAATAGCCTCTGCCTCACAAAGAACTGTACAAAGGCCTTCTTCCAAATTCTGCACTTTCAAAATGGAATTTAACACCTTCCTGACAGACCTTATGAGACGTTCCCAAACATCGCCATGATGGGAACCAGCAGGAGGATTAAAAATCCACTTTATGCCCTTTTGCAGCAGCATCTCATGAATCTGTGCCTGATTCCATCCTTCCACTGCCTCTTTCAACTCACGTTCACCACCCACAAAGTTCACAGAGTACACTTCTTCCAGTGTAATCTCCTGGTCCAGTATTATGTCATTTCCTCTGGGAATATTCCTGTCCTGTTGCTGTCGGTTGCCACCAAACATGAACCCAAAGTCACCAAAGAAACTGGAGAAGACATCGCTGTGAAAGCTGTGGTGACCCTCTTTGAGCCCGTACTCTCCATACATGTCATACAGTTTCTTTTTCTCCTTATCTGAGAAGACCTCATAGGCTGCCCCCAAGTCTGCGAACTTGTCCAGGGCTTGCAGGTCGTCTTGGTTTCTGTCGGGGTGTAACTGCAAAGCCAGCTTTCTGTAGGCCTTCTTGATGTCCCTGATTGATGCACTCTTGTGTTCATTTGCATCAACAGCATGAACTAAATTGGCCATTTTAATCTCTGGATCATTCGAAGAGATCTTCCCAAAATCAAGGTTCACTGGCCAATTAATTTCTGGTTCAGCAAGAAACTTTGGCCCTGACAACCAGGAATCATCCTTGACAAACATCTGTTTAAGGCTCATAGCTCGCTGTTCTCATCCCCCTGGGCCCCCGCTTTCCCTGCTTTCCCTGGGTTGGTGGTGTGTTGGTGGTAAGGGAATCCCTTTCCATCAACCCATTCCTGGAAGCCCTGGACCCTCTGCCCCTTCACTCTGTATATATTTCACGCTGAGCTTGTTGTAAATAAACTTTTGAACTTCTTCAGAGTCAAATTCGAGTCTGCATCTGAATCCATTCTGTCAGCCTTGACAAAATATAGTATAGGAATTCTGTTTCAGTTCATATCAGTTCACCTTTATTTCATCCATCCATCCATCCATCCATCCATCGTCATCCGCTTTGTCCGGGGTCGGGTCGCGGGGGCAGCAGCCTAAGCAAAGAGGCCCAGACCTCCCTCTCCCCAGCCACCTCCTCCAGCTTGTCCGGGGGAATACCAAGGCGTTCCCAGGCCA